GGTCATTTCCTTATTATTTATTAAAGTACAGGTTTTGTCTAGATTTGACATAGTTTTACACGAAGCATGGCCTAGCTGCAACCCTCAACTGTGGTGCTGACATGAAAATCTTTGAATCTTTCTTTTGAATGGACATGAGTACATGGTATCATAGCTTCATTATGCCTCAGGTCTAGAAGTATCTTACCAGAAACTGCCCTAGGTGATGTTTGGTCCCCTTTATATATTGGAAATGCCAATGACAAAACTATAGTTATTACCATGAGGAATGGAATCATTGACATCAGATCACTGTCTGAAGGTAGTAGGAATACAAAATCAAAAGAGTGTTTTATTTAATGATAAGAAGAGAAAAGCAGGTCTACTGTGGTCCCTGAACTGGGTTGGAGGTGGTAAGGCTCGATAGCAGAGGAGGTCAGAGATTCTGATTTATATATAGAATCAGAAGTGAATGCATGAGCAAAGTACAAGTGCTCAAACATGCATGTTATTGACAGTTGAAACCAAAGAACTTGCCATAGCCTGCCTCTGCCCTGCCATGGATCCTGGAACAGCAATAGCTATGAGATTGCTGCCAGGAAATAATAAGAACAGAGGCAAACTCTCCTTTGTGCTCCCCTCTGGGCACTGCATTTGAAAAATTCACCAGAGTCTGTATCTAGCATAAATTGAGTGTTACAGCCAAGTTACTAGATTCACCATTCCCAAGACCCACATCTATTCTGCATAGGTCTACCGATCTCAGCTATTCCATCTACATGGAGCACAAATGAAATATCAGATAGTTAAGTATGAAGGGGACTTGTCTATTTCCCCTCAAGTAACAAAGACTCTCAATGAGGCACAGAAGGAGACTCTTACTAGATGCACCATTTAGACCCCAATACTTTTTCTGCTCGGAAGGAAGGTTGGGCAATCCTACTTCCGTAGTGATACTGCCTTGGAAACCCGAGGGGTCGCTATGAGTCGGGGCCGACTTGACGGCACATAACAACAACTTTTTCTGCTTACTAGATATGATGACTTATTTTCTGAGAAGTAAATAATGATGACACTAGTCACTCTGAGAAAGCTTTTTAAATGTGCTTTTTCTCTCTTAACCCTCAACTTCTTTACAAGCTGGGACCTTCATCTTCTCAACTTTTAGATAGAACCCAGAGAATAGGCTTAGCTCTTCATAATAGGGAAAACTAACACCCAGAGAAGGAAGCAACTAATCTTCTGTTTATTTGGGACACAAAGAAAACCTGCATTGGGAGCCTTTCACACAGGCATAAACTCTTTTAAGTGCTAAGCTCAGCATTAAATCATACTTGAGTGACCAGGAAAGCCATGATAAGTAAGGTAAGCTCTTTTGTAATAGCTTTATCATTAATATACAGGATTCTGTTACCCACATTCAATTAAACCAAGGCTGGTAATTTGGCTCCAGATAAATCTCTTCAGAAATGGGGCTTCTAACAAGGAAAAATCCAAAATTAATCTAGCTCTGGTCATCCAATTTGAAACTATTCAGGGTTTTTAAGTACAAGGTCCTCATGGAGAAAATACAACAGTAGTGAGGAGATGGCAGCCCTCCCAGCATGGCAGTATGTATAGGAAGAATCACTAGCAGGTACATGATGATTTATAAGATAATGGCTCAGAAAAGTTTTTCAGAAAGCTGTGGTAGGCAGTTTTCATTGGCCATTCATCCCTGCATGTGTAGCAATTTGGCTAGTTCATCACCCTCATCCATGCCTGAAGCAACTGGCTGCTTCACTTTCAAGGCCAGAGTCTGACAGTGGCCTTCATAGGACTAAGCCTGCAAACACTTCCCACACAATGTAAACTCTCATCTAAATACAAAAAAAAAAAAAATCCCCAAAACCCACAACCCCAAACTACCTGAAGGGACTGGAAACTAAACAATAAAGCAAATTCCAGAGAGAAGCTGAAACCTGGAAGAAATAAATGGCCTGTTGTAAGCGTCCCATTTTTATGGCTTTTACCAAAAATCAAACTCAATGCTGTCGAGTCGGAGCAGACTCATAGCGACCCCTCCTTGGGTTTCTGAGGCGGTATCACTACAGAAGTAGATTGCCTAATCTTCCTTTTAGGCTGATACAAAACTGCACTCTTTCTGGTCAAAGAACCATAGGACAGAGTTCAAAGAAACCACAGCTCCTGGAAAGTGAGGGGGGAAAAGATTGGTTAAAAAAAAAAGTGTCAAAGAAGGCAAGCCCCAAATTCTGTATATAAGCTCCATCTGAAGCTCCGGTTGACTCCAGAACAATACGTATGAGGGACAGATTCCAGCTAAAGATAAAAGAAATGAACTGGGATTTGAGCTGCTGTCCAAGACAGTTTACAGTTTGAGTCTAATAAAAAGTTAACAGCCTGGTAACATAAACCAAAAAATCATCAAATTTTGGAGAAATATAACAGAATACAGGAACTCTGGTGGCATAGTGCCTAAGGCATTTGACGGTTAACCAGAAGGCTGGTGGTTCAAACCCACCAGCCACTCCTAGAAGATTGGGCAATCTATTTCCATAGAGATACTGCCTTGGAAACCCAAGGAAGGGTTGCTATGAGTTGGATCGATTTTGACGGTAGTAAGTAGTAGTAGAAGTATAACAGAATACACAACATAAACATTTACATGTGTTCAGGATAAAATACAAAATTACTCAACATATGAAGAACCAGAAAAGTAGAACCAATCTCCAGAGAAAAAGACAATGAAGCCCAACTGGGAGATGATTCGGATGTTGCATTTAGTAGAAAAGTAATTTAAAGCAGTTATCACAACTATGTTCAATCAAACAAAGGAAAGGATGCTTGTAGTAAACAGAGGAAATCAGCAGAAAAATATAAACTATAAAAAAAAAGTCAAATGAAAATTACAGAATTGAAACACACTATTTGAAATTTAATCTTTGCCTGCATTTGGGAACTACTCTTCAATTTATTGCCTTCATCTTTCTGTTCTTTGGTCCTTTCATTTCTGGAACTGAGTCAATTTAGAATGAAGAAGAGTGATTAACCTTTAGGTCTTCTAGAAGGAACAGGAGTCCCAGTGGTGCAGTGATTAAGCACTTGGGTGCTAACCAACAGGCTGGCAGTTCAAACCCACCAGACACTCCCAGGAGAAAGATGTGGCAGTCTGCTTCCATAAAGATCACAGCCTTGGAAACCCTATGGAGCAGTTCTTTCTTGTCCTACAGGGTCGCTATGAGTCAGAATCAACTTCAAGGTGATGGGATTTTGTCCTAGAAGGGCACGAGTCAGACTCATAGTTAAGGATATTCTGATGACAAATGAGATGGGAGGTGGAAAGCAACCCATAACCTCGGCTCACTTGGAAATTTTTAAATTTCAAATGATTTTTACTTGTACCAAAACTAAATTGAAAAGTGCTTACTGATATTCTAAGTAGTTAGTCTTTGCTGTTTGGGAACCCTGACTCAAGAGGTGTAAAGGATTTGTTGTTGTTACGTGCCCTCAAGTCCTTCGGTTTCTGAGGCAGTATCAGTATGGAAGTGGATTGCCCAACCTTCCTTGAGAGGAATGGCTGGTGGGTTTGAACCACCAGCCTTCTGGTTAGCAGTCAAATGCTCCTGCCAAGCATCTGTAGGAGGCAGGCTTCATACAGATAGAGAGTGTTTCTATGAGAAGAAAAGGAATATTCAGTGGGAACATCAAAGTCTATCTTCTGAAGTGATTCTGACATGAAATTACCACAAACAAGTATTTGGAAGAGATAATTTCAAATTCATTTTGGGTCTCACATCAGTCCTTTTCTCCTTTGTTTGTTGTTGTTGTTGGTATGTGCTGGTGAGTCAGACGCATAGAGACTCCCTTGGCTTTCCGAGGTGGTATCACTACAGAAGTAGATTGCCCCATCTTCCTTTGTTTACCAAATTCTATATACTAAGAGACACATACTTCAGAAACAGAGCCAGCTTCCCAGCCCCAAAGCTTCTGACAGTCTTAAAAGCAGAACATGACAGAAAAGGGCACAAGAGATAAAGGACCCAACTTACAAAAAGTGACAATAGTCACAATTAGTAAGGTTACTAAAGAAGAATGAAATGGTTAAGTTTAGAAATGAAGGGAGTCCAATTCCTCTGGAGGCAAGGAGTATGATTATTTCATTCAAGAAAAAATAATTAAATGATATTTAAAATAAGAGAATGAAAACTTCCAAAGTGTGTTCTTAGCAAATTTGTAATGCACACCAACTAAACTCAGTTTTCAGAATTAAAATGGACCAATGACTCTCTAAGACTTGATTAGTCAAACTACAGAAACAAACAAACAAAAGTGAAGCAGCAGAAAAACTATAAAACTCCTTTTTTTTCATCATGGTTCTTCCACTATAAAGCTGACTCTGACATTAACCAATGATGCAAAATTCTAGAAACTTTACAAAATTTCTTTTTAAAATTTATTTTTTGTTATCAAAGATAATGTCCAGAAACATTAAGTACTAAAGAATCTGTTCATGGCATTGTTTTACAAAAGTTCCTAATGGAGTGTGAATACTTTATTTTTTGATGTATGTTTCATTTATTAATGATGAGGTGGATGAACTGATATAATTACTTAAAAAAAAAATCCAGACAATCTTATAAAGAAAAAAATAGCTGTTCTCATTCTGAATCAGTTGACTGGAGTGAATGCAGTGGTTACAGTACCACCACTGGCTAAGAATCAACTCTCCTGACAGTAGGGAGCTATTTGGGTTTTTTTCATTGGGTCACACAGGTCTCTCAGATATAGGCACCATGTTTGAAGTCTTGCACAAAATATGTCTGTGTCACTTAAATTAAACATTGTGGCAGTGTTTGTTTCATGGGGACATAATCTTGAAAGAAGGCGCAAAGTAGAAAACAACCTGCTTGCATGTTATGTGTGAGTACATTATTGAACTGGGTATGGGTCTGGGGGCATTGCAGCCCTGTTAAAGAGGAATTCCACCAATGAAGCATCTGTCTGTTCTCAGTTGCTCTCGATGCTGAGGGTATCTACTCATTTAACCACACATTGTTAAATCAGGGACTTCTTGGTTTACTGTTTGGCTCAAATCGTTTGAACTGAGATTGGCTGTTCGTTTCTTCCATCTGAACTTTATTTCTCTGCCTCAGGATATGTGGGGTACTTGACTGTTTCTATCTTCTCTCGAACTTTGTAGGAAGGATACAGGCCCGTCCTTCCCAGTTTTCTGTTGACACCTTTAGAATAGCCATCCCAATGATTTCCAGCCACACCAATAATATCCCCAGGCTCCATGGGGATTTCATCTGCAGTTCGAGGTTGGTGAGGATAAATAGCAATCTGGTTGTGGGCATTCTGGCCCCCAAAATAGTAGATGTCATCCAGAGAATGGAAGTTTGCAGAGGCATCAGGATGCAGTGTTTGCATGATTTCATAAGCAACTCGACAGACCTTGGGGAAGAATGAGGAGAAAAAAAAAACCTGTTAGTACATAAAAACCCTCTCCCATTCATAGAAACTGGAAAATCCTTGGCCAAAAAGATGGAGCTCTAGGACTGAGAGGTTGAGAAGTAGTGAATTTTAGTCACAAGTTTTCAGTCCATTTGATCTCAGATGATGGTACAAATGAAGTCATTTTTCATCTTTGTGCTTTTATTTATTTACTTACTTATGAAAGGTTATTATAGTTAAGATCTCTGGGAGGGAAAAAAACATAAATATGTTGCAAGGTCCTTTAAGAATATTAGTGAATTTCAATAAACTTTATTAAGAGTCACACAGTGCTGGGCACTGGTGGTAATAAAAATAAGTAAGACATTATTTATTAAATAATTTAATTAATTAACTAATTAAAGAGTTTAAGGTTTAGGATTAAGATTGTAAATGCTTTACACAAATGCTGCGACTCCCTCTTCCTTCATGTACTGCTCATCAACCACAGCTCTCTTCTGCTGATTTAGGGTTTGGTCTCAGAGCTCAACAAGACTTAGGTAGTTACTATCACTTGGCACTGGCAAGTGAGATAAAACATCTCTGCCATTTCTGTTCTAGTGAATTTTAAGTGTGCTGGGTACACGGCAGCAAGCTTGGACTAAGCTAGACTAACCCTTGGAGAAGATAGAGTATACATCTATCATATTAGTGTTGTTTTAGCGCTTCTTAAAAGACCCCTACAGCCAAGGAATACCTTCTCCACTTACCAGATGGTGGTTAAAATTTTACAATCTGAGCTGCATTTTCCATTTAAAAATTGAAAAAAAAATATTTTATTGTGTTTAGGTGAAAGTTTACATAGCAAAGTGGATTCCTATTAAAAATTCATACACAGATTGTTCTGGACAATGGTTATATAACCCTTTAAAGTGCCAGCATTCTCAACCATTTCCACTCCACCTGCCTCATTTCCATCCATCTAGTTTGCCTGACCCTCCTTGCCTTTTCATCTTTGCTTCTGTGTAAGTGTTAACAGTCTGGACGCCTATCGTTGACTGTTTAAAGGAACACATTCCTCACAGGTGTTATTGTTTATTTTATAGGCCAATCTATTATTTGGCTGAAAAGTGACCTCTGGGATTAGCTTCCATATCTTAGGGTGACAGTGTTGGGGTTCCTCTGGTGTTTGTATGTCAGGTCTGGTCTTTTTTATGAATGGGAGTTTTGTTCTACATTTTTGTCTCATTCTAACTAGGACCTTCTATTGTGTCATGAGCTCCATTTCTTAAACTTAATATTTCATGAAAAATTAAACTATATATCCATGGAGAGAGACTATTTGGAGCAATTAACAGATATTTTCATTTATAGAGAAAATAGGTTTCAAAACCTTTTCTAAGAGTAGGTGAAGACAAAAGAGAGAATATTATCATTTGGCTTAGAAAATCCTTCCTTTACACATATTGTGAATAGAGAACTCAGGACAAATTTTCCCAAATCTACAGTTGTAGTATCTCAGTTAATGAAGCTTTATTGCACTTACTTATTTTTTAAATTATTTTGCACTTATTTAAAATGAAACTTCTAGTAGTGATTGTTAATCCTCTCAGTGGAAAAATTTAGGATTACTTGGCAATCGTTTCAAATTTCAGCATTCATGAAGATCACCAAAAATGAAGATGAGCATTTTTTTCTCTTATGAGCAAATAGAACTTGATTGGTTAACTGTCACTTCAACTTCTTATAGAATCTGAATTCTAGGTACTTGAAAAGCAATTCTCAAATGCTGTAGTTAATTTGAAAATGCAACTGGGTTTGGACATAATCTTTAATTTTAGAGACAGAGACTAAAATACAAACATATTAAGAGATTTGTCCAGTTCTAGTGCTAGAATTACAACTAGGTATAGAACCAAGATGACGAGAACTTTGCTACTTTACTAATAAACTAGATTTATATTGGGAATGTCACGGTGCAACTAAGATCCCTGGTAGAATACTGTGATTATAACAAAATGGAGATTGAAAATACTTGGAACTTTAAATTTCAAATGCAGCCAAAGGCTCACAAAAGGTAAGCAAAATCAACAGGGACTCCGGAAAAGAAAAAACTCAGTAATTAAGACAAAGCAATTACAATAATAGCAAACTACAATAATAATGATAGAGGCCTATATTTGCCAAGTTTTGCTTAACTGCCAGACATTGTTTTTAGGTATTATTTAATCATGTCAAAATCCATATAAGCTTCTAGCATTATGATCATTTTATAGATGCAAAACTAAAGCACAGGGAAGTTAAGGAATTTGTCTACGACTATACTATTGTAAGGGGTAGATTTAGGTTTTGAACCCAGGCAGCCTGTTTATGCTTGCAACTGTTTTGCATATTATCTCTTATAGATTCTGTTTTCCATATTCATATTGTAACACCAGAAAGATATAACATCAGGCAAAGCCAACCTTTCTTTCTAGAACGAGCCTAATGGTATTATTAAGGAGGCCTAGGAGAAGGAAAGCAAAGAGTTGAGCAGATCTGTGTAAGTCTCAATACCTACCTACGTGTAAGGTAGATAAATGTTGAGTCATGTGTGCGGACAGATAGATAGATATAATTTTAGAGTTTCGTGACTAGACCTGTTATTGTTGTTAGGTGTCAGTGAGTTGATTTACAACTCACAGCAACCTTATGTGACAGAGTAGAATGGCCCCATAGTTTTCTAGGCTATAATCTTTACAGAAGCAGATTGCCACATCTTTCTCCCATGGAGTGGCTGGGTGGGTTCAAACTACCAATCTTTTGGTTAGCAGCCAAATGCTTAACCATTGCACTACCAGGGCTCCTGGGACAAGAGCAGTGGTTCTCAAATGGGAGATTTTGTCCCTGAGGGAGATATACGGCAATGCCTAGAGGCAACTGTGGTTGTCCTAACCTGAAGTGGTGGTACTATTGACATATGATGGGTAGAGGCCAGGGATGGTGCTAAACATCCTAAGATGCACACAACAGCTCCCTACAACAATTATCTGGCCCCAAATGTCAATAGTGCTGATGCTGAAAAACCATGGACTACAAAAATAGACCTCTTTAGGCCTAAAACCCAGGCCTAAAGGGGAGGTAGTATACCTGGGAAATGATCCTTGACTCACTCATTCTAATAATAGGTATTAAGGAAGACATGGGAGTTGTTACTAGTTACCTGCACCTGTTGATTAGGTAGGTACAGCACTAAATTCTCAAGAATAGCTGGGAGGGACCAGGTAGGAATAAGGCCCCTACCATGAGACTAGAAAAGGGTGTTTCTGAAAGATACGATCCTTTCTCTAACTAGGGAGAGATCAGTAGTGGATGCCGTTATGGGAACTTGAACTTGAACTTGCTGTTATGGGAACTAAGGAAGTTTCCCTTCTGACTGGAACTGCTGCTGCTGTGTGACTCCTGCTCTGTGTAGTACAGTTGTATTCTTATGCCACATTGATGGAATGCATAGCCTTCACATGGGTAGGTATGTTTTTAACAATGATACAGGCATGTAAAAAAAACTGTCCCTTTATTTTCTGAAGTATATTCCCATGAAAATGATGTGGTTTTCTGTTTTAATATTTTCTTTTCTCTGTTTCTTCTTAGGGCTATTATATTTCTTGGTAATCATCCTCTAGTTATTTCATGTGTATTTTGCTTATTAGATTCTGGACCAGGGAAAGATCTGTATCTTCAATCTCCTTTGAACTCCACCCCCCACCCCCCGCCAAAGAAAAAATCTAATATAATGGTTTGCACAGAATAGTCATTTAATAACTTGCTGGATGAACTAACCAAAAATACATGCATAAATTAGAGAGCAGAATAAAATGTACAATAAATATTGCTATACTGATTATTTCACTGGGCATTATAAGACCGATTGGACCAGACACAGAAACACACACACACCAAACCCATAACATATAATTATGTGCAACAATTAAATTCAATGAATGATTGTGGGTATTGCTTAAATTTAATGTACAGTATCCTGCTTAGCAGAAGTGTAATAGCACTTGAAGAGGAATTGCATTTGCTCCTTCTTTTCCATTTTATACAAAGCAATAAAGTGAGGCAAAATACTATGCATTTAAGCCTTCAGGATCAGTGCACTGATGTGTAGAAATGGATGGAATCTGGTTATATGTGGGGTATATGCAAAAACAGAAGTATTAAGAAAACTTAATTACTTGTGTTTCTGTTAAATGCTGTGAACAAGCCAAGTACTTTAAACAACTCCAGTAACTGGCTTCAGCAGAGAAGTATTCAACCATTGCTAACAAACAACTAAATATTCAGTGCATACAAATAGCTATTTTATAGAATCTTTTCATTCTTTCACAAAAGTGATCATTATTAAACATCAGGAATATTGCACCTGAGTCATGACAACTAACGGTAAAAAAGGTTAAAAAACAACAACAAAACACAAACCTATTTTCCTGACCACAATATGACTAACACTGCCCATTTGAAAATGCCCTACTGTCACTTACTTGGGATGAAAAAGTACACACTAGGAAGTCGGCCTGGGAGAGAAAGTGTATATCCAGGATTACACCCCGAAGTGAATTTTCTGTATATCGATTGTGCAGGCCAGCTGACCAAGAGATAGAGTTATCACTAATAAATTCATAATTGGGATACCTGAAAAAAGAAATTTATACATGGTCACTAAAATTACAGTATCCTATCAGAAGGCAGACCTGCGCCTTGACCAAGAGCTCCTCTTTTTCTAACAGTAAAGAGATCTTTAGTTATGACATTCAACACAGTAGTAAAAAAGCATCTTTGAATCCATCAGTGGGGCAGAAACCATCCTGCAATTCCCTGTATATTAAAAGTTATTGGCATGTTAGATAAAAAACAAAACACAAATATCATTTTTTTTCTCAATTCACAAAAAATAGAAAACAGAAATATCTTTATCCTTTTTGTAATGAATGACCTTTGAATTTTTTCAAGGTGCTTTCATATTTGATCACTAAGTTTTTCCTTTAGAATATAAACATTATGACAAAACTACATTCATATTTTTAATTTGTGATAATGCCACATAGGTTAGTCTTCATAAATGTTTTATTTATTGATATTATAAGTTAATAATGCAAAGAAAGAAAGAGATGAGTATTTTTAAAACGTATTAGAACCAACAACCTCCCCTCAGCTTCCCTCCTTCTTAGATCACCATTTATTCTTAACAAATAATAGTAATGGAAAGCCAATCTAATACATTTATGAAAGCAACTTGTTTGCCCATCAAGTAACATTTTGTTAGTCTTACGATAGGACATGTGTCTCAAAATATTAAAACATGACAAACATGACTTTTGTTGGAAATCATTGTTCAAATGATTCCTCTCTGAAGTAGAGGTTTAATTTTACTCTAGTATAGACCCTACTTGGGTCAAAAATTAATGTCCATGAAAGCAGCAATCACGAAATCAAATGACTGCATTAGGCAAATATGCTGCAAAAGATCTTTTTAAAGTTTAAAAAAGCAAAGATGTCACTTTGATGACTAAGGTGTGCCTGATCCTAGCCAAGGTGTTTACAATCACCTCATATGCATAACAAAGCTGGACAGTGAAAAATGACGACAGACATATTACAATTGTGGTGCTGGCGAAGAATACTGAATATATGAACTGCCAGGAGAACAAACAAATCAGTCTTAGAAGAAATACAACCAGAATACTCCTTAGAAGGGAGGATGGCAAGGCTTTTTAGAATACAGTAACCCAACTACTCAGAAGAGTACCTGACCTATAGTAAACGTTCAATAAACATCAGCCATGATTGTTAAACATTATCCCCCCTAGACATCCACCTGGTTTGATTCCTTACTTCCTTTAGGTTTCTGCCCAAATGTTGCCTTATCAACGATGTCTTTGAAAATCCCTCTCCTTTTTACTGTTCAATTTTTCTCCAAGGCTCTTGTTATCATTTGACATTTTATTTATTGTTTGCATCTACTCCACACCTCAATCATCCCTAACTGAAATGTAAGCTCTATAAAAGGAAGCATTTCATTTGCTTTGCTCACTGTATTATTCTTGGGACCTAGAAGACTATCTGAATTATAATAAGTTCAATAAACATTTGCTGAAAGAAGAGTAGCTCCTATTCAGAAACCTGGAAACAGCAGGATTCAGTTTACCTGTCAGTATTCTCCAAAAGTTGGGACCATGCCTCATTTTTCTTTGCATCACATCACGTAGTACTCTACACAATATTGTGTGAATAAGTAAGTGAACAAGTAACTGCTACCTGTGTTTGGGGCTCTCTTCTAATCCCATAACAGCTGCTTCAGATTTCTCTTCATTTCCAGCCTCCAAGGAGCTTTCCCTCATTGCCTTTCTAATGATGACTGTGAAGGGAAAGTCTCTGAACACTGTTTTCAGACTGGTATTCAGTGTTCAGATTCATTTGGCCTCATTATTTTTGACATTGTGCCCTCCTCAGCTCAGAATCAGGGAGATGAGGGAAATGTCACATTTATTCTAAAAAGAAAACAACCAGAAAGACTTTTAATGTGATTGCTGTGAAGCCACGTATGTGAGGCATAGGACAGAAGCAGTATCAATAAATAAGAAAAGGCTGACGGGTAGAGGAGAGGAGGAATTGCTAAAACACAACAAAGCAGGTTTTATCCTGAATAAAGACCATTTAGTCGGCATGGTTTTGGTGCTCAGTGAAACAAAGAAAGGAATTATCTAGTTACTGAGAAGTGACACTAACACTGATGCCCTTCCTAACTTAAAGACTCATCTTGGGGGGCAAAAGTACACCTAACCTTTTCAGGTCTTACTTCTATACACAAAAGAATGTGGGAAAACAAAAACCCAGAAACAAAGTGAATAATGGGAGAGGGAGAGTTTCCACCTGTAGATAATTAGCATAGCATCTTCTGGATTTTACTGATCAAACATGCTTCTTTCTTGTGTTTTCTCTATAGGTATGTTGGGAGAGGAATTCTTGTACCCTGAGGTTGAGGAGATTCGCAATGATAAAAAGAAATACTTTTTCTTCTTCTACCTTATAAATTTTATTTTTGTATCACTCACAAAGGATTAGCTTAAAGTTATAAATACCAAATTTTCTTTTCTGAAGTCTTGCAGACACTCATCTTGATTTCACTGTACTTGGTATATAAATTCTTCGAGACATATATCTAATTACACTGTAATTATTTGTTACATGTGTACTGACTACCAGTAAGATATATACTGAGATTAAGAGCCAAATATTATGTTTTCCTTACCTTTGTATTCTGTACTTCTTCGTCTAGCATATCATAGGAGTTAAAAAGAAAAATAGTGAAGAGATTTAGCATTCCTATTGCCGATTCTTCATCTCACAGGGCAACCAAATACTACAAAAATCTTTTTAACATTTTAATTTTTTTGTCTTTATTATTGTCATTGATCCTAATTTCAGGAAGAACTAATCCATCATTTTTTATAAAGAGTAAACTAAACAGGTAAATATTTAATCTGAGAGACTGGAAAAGGCTTGTTTTCCCTCTTATATTATTCCTATTACCAGTTTCCACAATCTTAGAAGATAATATTGTCTGGTCAACTTTAAAAGAACTGAGTCTGTCTTATTTTCTTCAGTGTCAGTGACTCTGGGATTTAAACACTCTAACAGTGAATTTTACTTGGATTTCATTTTATGTGGATTCATAATCAACATGCATGGAAGCAGCACTCAAAAAATCAGATGTTGTATTCCACTCCCAAGTCTGCTGCAAAAGACCACCTAACCCAAGCCATGGTATTTTCAATAGCCTCATATGCATGTGAAAGCTGGACAATGAACAAGGAAGACTGAAGAAGTCAATGCCTTTGAATTATGGTGTTGGCAAAGAATACTGAAAATACCATGGACTGCCAGAAGAACAAACAAATCTGTCCTGGAAATGCAGCCAGAATGCTCCCTGGAAGTGAAAATGGCCAGTCTTTGTCTCACCTACTTTGGTCATATTGTCAGAAGGGACCAGTCCCTGGAGAAAGATATCATGGCTGGTAAAGTGGAGGGTCAGTGAAAAAGGGGAAGACTCTCAACAAGATGGATTGACACAGCAGCTGCAATGATGGGCTCAAGGATTGCAAGAATGGTATATGACTGAGCAGTGTTTCGTTCTGTTGTACATAGGGTTGCTATGAGTCGTAATTGACTCAATGGCACCTAACAACAACAGTGAATCACCTAAGAAAGATATTGTCACCTTACAATTGCTGCCTCAGTCTCTGGAACATTGGTGTTAAAATACTGTGAGTGAACTCAATCCTAACCTAAAAAAACCTGAGGTCTAATACCAACCACCAAAGCATTAATTGCTCATCTTCATACAGAAACCACATGTATAAAGTTAATCTTGCCCACTTTTTCAAAGGACAAGCTACCCCCCTCAATGGGGTTTCCTCTGATTGTGTGAATCCTATGTATCATTTAATTTTAATTTTCATCTCTTCATCCTCGTGAAGCAGAAAAGCCTTAGAGACTATATACTTTATTGAGATCAGTCCATGCTTTTGGTCTTCTCAAACAATGATAGAGGTTTTATGATTTGCTTAGGTATCAAAACCAATCCTGAGTGAACTAACTAAATCAGAGTTAATTCAGAGTAGAAAAACATTCAAATAAAGAATGAAGGACATAAATAGCATTTAAATACCTTAGAAAATCTTTGAAATTATTTAGAAAATTAAAGAATTTCCATACAGAACAAAATTATGCATAAAATGTGACTACAATTTACAGAATATGGAGAAAACTGATGCCTGGATTATTATGGGGAAAGGAGTTATAGCTACTGACTACAATTCCCACAGTCCAAATAGATACTGCTAACTGTACTGTAAGAGTTGCTTGGTATAAAAATGTTATTTATATACACTATTGGATCAAAAGCTGAAAAAATGTTCATACCCTTTGATCGAAGTCTAAAGAGGTAGTAAAAGGAATAATATGGGTAGTATTAGGCATGTATAGAAGTAGTTTTTATAAAAGTAAGTAATTAGAAATAAAATAACTTAAATATAAGGAAAATGGTTATATAAGTAATGGCAAATCCATAAAATTAATATGTAGCCCTTTAAAAGAAGATATTCATAGTGATTTTTGTTGTTGTTATGTGCCGTTGAGTCGGACCCGACTCATAGTGACCCCTCCTTGGGTTTCTGAGGTGGTATCACTACGGAAGTAGATTGCCTAATCTTCCTTCCGAGGAGTGGCTGGTGGGTTTGAACCGCCAACCTTCTGGTTAGCAGGCAAGTGCCTTAGGCACTATGCTACCAGAGCTCCTACAGAGTGATTTTTAGTGACCTGAAAAAAAGATCTATTATTGTATTAAACAAACTTTTTAATGACCTGAATAAAATGATCTACTGTAGTAAATGAAAAAGAACTTAAATTATATAGAGTATGGAAGACCAATTAATATGACTATTATTAAAATTTATACACCAACCACTAATATCAAAGAAAAAGAAATTGAAGATTTCTACCAACTTTTGCAGTCTCAAATTGATCAAACATGCAATCAAGATGCATTGATAATTAATGGTGATTGGAATGTGAAAGTAGGAAACAAAGAAGGATTGGTAGCTGGAAAATATAGTCTTAGTGACAGACATGACGCTGGAGATTGCATGACAGAATTTTCAAGACCAATGACTTATTCATTGCAAACACCTTCTTTCAACAACATAAACAGCAAGTATACACATGGATCTCACTGGATAGAATATACAGGAATCAAATCAACTACATCTGTGGGAACAGATGAGGAGAAGCTCAATATCACCAATCAAAACAAGGCCAAGGGAACTGTCTACCAACTGCCATATGCAAGTTCAAGTTGATGCTGAAGAAAAATAAGTCCATGCGGGCCAAAGTATGACCTTAAGTATATCCCTTTTGAATTTAGAGACCATCTTAAGAATAGATTTGATGCACTGAACACTAATGATCGAACACCATATGAGTTGTGGAATGACATCAAGGACATCATACACTAAAAAGCAAAAGGTGAATAAAAAGACAAGACAAGGAAAAAAAAGATCAAAACGGGTATCAGAAGAGACTCTGAAACTTCCTCTTGAAAAGAGAGTAGCAGAAGTAAACGGAAGAAACGATGAAGTAGAAGAGCTGAAAAGATTTCAAAGGGCGGCTCAATAATGTAAGTGCATTAAAACCTGGAGTTAGAAAACTAAAAGGAAAGAACATGTCCAATATTTCTTAAGTTGAAAGAAATGAAGAAAAAATTCAAACCCTGAGTTGTAATACTGAAGGATTCTAAGAGTAAAATATGGAATGACTTATGACGCATATAAAGAAAATGGACAGAAGACACACAGTCACTATGCCTAAAAGAACTAATTGATATTCAGCCATTTCAGGAGGTAGCATATGATCAAGAACTGCTGGTATCAATAGAAGTCCAAGCTGCACTGAAGGCATTGGTGAAAAATAACCTCCAGGAACTGAAAGAATACCAACAGAAATGTTGCAACAAATAGATATAACACTGGGAATGCCAACCGGTCTATACCAAGAAAGTCAGCTACTTGGCCAACTGACTGGACGAGATCCATATTTGTGCTCCCCCTTCCAAATAAAGGTGGCCCAAACAGAATGTGGTAATTATCTAACAATATCACTGATATCAAAAGCAAGTAAAATTTTGCTGAAAATAATTAAAAAACTGTTGCAGCAGTACACTGACAGGAAGCTGTTAGAAATTCAAGCCAGATTCAAAAGAGTACTTGGAACAAGGGATATATCATTGCTGATATCAGATGGATCTTGGTTGAAAGCAGAGAATATCAGAAAGATGTTCACCTGTTTTATTGACTATGCAAAAGCATGTGACTGTGTGGATCATAACAAATTATGGATAATGTGAAGAATGGGAATTCCAAAGCACTTAATTGTGCTCACGTGGAACCTGTACATAGATTAAGAGGTTGTCATTTGAACAGAACAAGGGGATACCGCATAGTTTAAAGTAAGGAAAGGTGGGCATCAGGGTTGTATCCTTTCACCATACTTATTCAATCTGTATGCTGTGCAAATAATCTGAGAAGCTGGATTACATGAAGCAGCATGCAGCATCAGGATTGAAGAAAGACTCATTAACAACCTGCAATATACAGAGGACACAACATTGCCTGCTGAAAACGAAAGACTTGAAGCACTTATTGATGAAGATCAAAGACTACTAAACATTCAGTCTGGATTACACTTCAACATAAAGGAAACAAAAATCCTCACAACTAGACCAATAAGCAACATCATGATAAATGGAGAAAAGACTGAAGTTGTTAAGGATGGATGCTACTCTGGTCCACAATTTAAGTCCATGCTCTGGTAGCGTGGTGCCTAAGGTATTTGACTGCTAACCAGAAGGCTGGCGGTTCAAAGCTATCAGCCACTCCTTGGAAGGAAGTTAGGGCAATCTACTTCTGTAGTGATACTGCCTCGGAAACCCAAGGAGGGGTTGCTATGAGTCAGGTCCGACTCGATGGCACATAACAACAACAATAACAACAATAGTTAAGAAATTGGGAAGTCTGATACAAAAGACCTCCTTGAAATGTTAAAAAGCAAATGTTATGACTTTAAGTACTAAGGTATGCTTGACCCAAGTCACAGTATTAATTGCCTCATGTGCATGTGCAAGCTGGACAATGAATAAAGAAGACCAAAAAAGAATTGATGCCTTTGAATTATGGTGCTGGAAATAAATACTCAATATACCAATGGACTGCCAGAAGAATGAACAAATCTGTCTTGGGAGAAGTATAGTCAGAATCTTCTTAGAAAGAAGGATAGCAAGTCTGTGTCTCATGTACTTTGGACATGTTTCCAAGAGGGGCCAGTGCTTAGAAAAGGACATCATGTTTGTTAAGTTCAGGGTCAAAGAAAAAGAGGAAGACCCTCAATGAGATGGAATGACACAATGGCTGTACCAGTGGGCTCAAACATAGCAAAATTATGAGGATGGTACAAGATTAGACAGTGTTTCATTCTGTGTATACAGGGTCGTTATGAGTCAGAATCAACTTGATGGCACTGAACAATAACAAGATCAACTATTAAAAATGTGATTCTTAACAACTGGAATGCATAAGTCAATATCTGAACAGTTGTTGCCATTGAATGATAGGACTGTGGGCAGTATTTATTCCTTGCTTATATATTTTCTAATTTCCACATTTTCTAATGAGCATGAGTTACTGTGCTAATCAAGGAGAAAGGTTTTTGATGCATTCAAGAACAAGTGAAAGAAAAGATAAAACTAATACCCTTTTCTTCAAACAAGCTAAAAATTCAGGATGGTGTTTTAAAATGAAAGAGTATGGTGAACTATTTCTATTTTCTCTCCTATAGGTCTGAACAGGAGCTCTGGTAGTGTAGTGCCTAAGACACTTGACTGCTAACCATTAGGCTGGTGGTTCAAACCTACCAGCCACTCCTTGGAAGGAAGGTTGGGCAATCTACTTCTGTAGTGATACCACCTTGGAAACCCAAGGAGGGGTCACTATAGTGAGTCGAGGCTGACTTGACGGCACATAACAACAACATAGGTCTGAACATCAAAATGGAAAAACGTTTGTGAAACTGTAATGTGTTTTGTGCCTAAATGTTCATGAAATCTATAATTCTTTATACTTAGCCAATAAATTTCTTGCCCTCTTGCTTTTTATTTATATACAGCAATTTGTAACATGTTAATTTAAATTCTTAGGAGGTAGCAATAGGATTTAACTTATCCAATGACTTGGATAAACATCTGCACTATAGTCCTCATTCTAAACATATTTACTTTGTGACATAAAAAAAGGGGCCAAGAAATATGTTAATTAAACAGCTAAATGGCTTAAATGATTAACAGCTAATATAATGTTTCCAAACTGATGGTATTATAAAAAACAAAATTTAATATTTATTGGGCACTTGCTACTGGTGAGAACTACGCAAAGTGAAGGAGACAGAGGTAAGTATGTACTAAACATTATGAGAGAGGAATGCACAAAATGTTTTAGAGGTACAGAGGAGGGGCCCTTAACCTAGTCAAGGGTTCAGGGATGATTTCTCGAGCAGATGGTATCTGAGCAGAGCTAAGGCTGCAACTCCCTCCCTCTCCCTCCCTATTCTCTACTTTCACATACATTTAATAAATCCTGTATTTACTGGTAGCAAATAAAAGCCATCTACAATCCAGATTCTATGATGAGAAATCCAATTAAGATCAGCACTTATGTTTTCATAACATCCTATGTTTATCCATATAGTAGCCCTACTCACACTGCTGTGTAATTGTTTGTTTCCCACTAGATTGGGAGTTCCTTGAGAGCAGTGACAGTCTTGATTACCATGAAAACTCCAGCACATAGCCTGAAACATAAGTAGGCTTCATAAATGACGATTACTGTACCATATATATTAATAATCCTTATTCCTCCACTTGTAAAACTCACCTTTTGATTCTTTACTTTTCTTTAGTAAAAGTTTATAAGATGAAAATTCTTTATCTTTCATATATGTTAAGTTGCTTGTAATTGCAAATGAAGATACTGAGATAAGAAGTGCAAGCACCTGTGTGTTTCATTGTTAACAGTCCTTTATAGTTATTTAGCAAATACTTTCAATGATGATAATGATGATGAATGGTAATGATGCATAATCAGTAGTTGAGTTCATTTTAGATTTTTTTTTTAATCCTCTGGCTAATAAAATATGCTTTGATTAGATTAACAGTATTACAAATACACAATCATATGAATTAAAAAACTCAATAATCAGTAATGATATTATAACAAGAATCATAAATCATGAGCTTGAGGATCCTTTCCAACTGAAAGAGAAAATCCCACCCTAGAATCACTAGTTGGTCTAACTTACTTTGTTTTTGCCTCCTTTAATAAAGAGGGATCATCTGTAGCCAAATATACTCTTTTTTTGTCCACTTGCATCCTGTGTGCAAGAAGCTGAAAGTGTTCCTCAACATGCACCATGTACTCCTCGATGGGATGGAAGGCTGCTTCTGTTCCCACTTTGTCTGTACGTCTGACATGGACTCTGGGGGTCAGAAGAAGAAATTCAGATTCTGCTGATAATGTTCTGAACCACTTGGTGCTTCATGGGGTTATGGGCATTTTTATACCAACTTTTTGTGCACTTTCACCATTAGGAAAAATAAAATAAATATTAAAAAACAGCTCAAACACATATATTCTAAATATATTTGCAAGCATGTTAAACAATACAAGAGGAACTGGAAAATAAATGAAGACTTTGCAGAATGCTCTCTTACGGAGAAAGCAATTGCCATATCAAGAATGACAGGGAGATTACAGAATTATAATCCATACTAGGAGGCAAAATACCAACAAGCCTTCCAGAAAAGATTTTTGAGATAAAGTGATACTAGGATTCACAGCTGTTATTATAAACCATTGAAGACATTATAAACCATTGAAGATATTGTATGTAATACTCTGAGACCAAGATTCCCCTCCCCCTTCATTTTGCTACATTTTATAGTGAGTGTAGAGTTACTATAACTGATAGCTTATAGAATTCAAAACTGTCCAACAAAATATCGCAGGTCTGCACAGACTCTTCCTATAGCACAAAGTAGGCAAACCATCTTAAGGGTTTTTTTACTATTTTAAGTTCATGGATCCATCCATCCTTTTTGTTGTATACATGAAATTTCCTTTCTCTGTTTTTCACTCTATGAAATGCAAACAGATACTGATCTCATCTGTCTCCTACTTAAGAAAGTCCCTGAAAAATCATAGAACTGGGGACATAGATTTACATTTTCCTGCACTGAAAGAGTGACTGACTTCCAAAGTATTCTCACATTTAAGTGCAAAGTAAATGTAATGGGAATAAGAATAAGAATAGTAAGAGTCATAGTTTGTTTTGATAAATCAAAAGACTCCTTAAATTCACCACCCCTCCCATGCTCATTACTAAAGTACTATTCAAATGTGGAAATTGAAAATGATACATTTATTTTCCTTTGGTCACAGCATATGGGCAATCTTACTTTGATTCTACTGAAATCTCAATGTAGGACTGGAACAATAAGCCTATGTCAAACCTAAAATTAGCTTTTTATTATGAATTTGGAATGAGGCTTTGATTTACCAGAGTTTCTCTATCATCTTCATGGCTATTTCTTTCCTTTGTGTTCCATACTACATCTAGATGAACACCTCTTTTATCATCTTTCCTTCCCATATCCTTTTTATTCTTTTGCATTTTTATTGTGGTAGAAATACACATCAAAATATTCTCCAATTCAACAATTTCTACATGTAAAATTCAGTGACACTGATTACATTCTTCATATTGTGCAACCATTAGCACCCTCCTTTTCCAAGTTATTCCACCACTATTAACATAAATGCAATGCCTCCTAAGCAAAAACTTCCCTTTTCCCCCTCCCTTTCACCCCAGTAACTACTAATATAATAACATTTGGTTTCTATATATTTGCTTATCTAAGTGAGGTCATACAGTATTTGTTCCTTTGTGACTTATTCACTTAACATGTTTTCATGCTTCAGCCATGCTGTGGCATGTATCAGGACTTCCTTTCTCTTTATGGCTGAGTAACAGTCCAGTGTATGTGTAGATCATATTTTATTTATCCATTTATCTGTTAATTGGCATTTAGGCAGTTTCTACCTATTGGCAGTCATGCCGCAATGGACACTTGTGTATGTATTCCTGCTTTCATTTCTTTTGGGTATTTTCCTAGGATTGGGTTTGCTGGATCATATGGTAGTTCTATGTTCAAATTTTTGAGGAACTGACAAACTGTTTTCCATAGTGGCTGTATTATTTTACATTCCCACCAGTAATGGATGAGGGTTCTAATTTCTCCACATTGTCACCAATACCTGCTATTTTTTTTGCAGGGCTTCAAATCAGTTCCAAAGGGTTCAGTCGTGGACCATAGAAATAAGGGCAGTGTATGCACTGCACAGCAACTGAATCTCTTGCTTACTGGACTTTGAACAGAACAGGAAATAGGCAGTGGTGCCTCACTCAAAGATGGCGGCCACGACACACACTCAAACCAGTTTGGTTCGCTGCCATTTTTGACCAGAGCACAGCTGCCTGTTTCCTACTTGTGGAGAGTATCACCACCCACTGCATAGGATTATGTTACCGGATCAAGTGAGATAATGTAATTGTATGTATTTGGGTAATTCAACTATGACACTATTAGCTTTCTCCAACTTTCAAGAGCCTGTTCAAACACTGTAGCTATGTTGCCTTTCCTGGTCCAGATAGAAGTACTTTTTCCCTCTCCTAATCTCCTAGTAATATTTTCTATGCTTGTCTCAAGGTATTTACCACATTCTATCCAGTATAATGCTTAGTTGTGCAAGTCTCTTCTATTGTAGATTGTAATGAACAGGAAAGTAGTTTTTTTTTTTTTTTTTTAAATTAATCTGATACATGTATTAGTATCAGACTGATAATAATACATTGATTGATACATCTATTAGTATCAGTCAATGGCTGACTTTATTATGACCAGAATAGGCTGTGGAATGCCACAGTCTAATCTACAAGTCTCTTTTCAGGAATATTTAAACATCAATCTTTCTGAATAGTAATTCTGTAGTGCATTTCCTTCACAAAACTAAAATCCTGTTTGCATCCTTACATCATCACATTATCCTCTTCAGGAGAGGTATTATCTTTCCCATTTTACAGATGGAAAAATCAAAACCTACTATTATTATTAAGTAACTTTGCCCAGAATCATTTAAGGAGGGAAAAGGTAGGATTATTACCCAGGTCACTTAACTTTCAGTCTAGTATTCTTTCCATTAGGTCTAATGACAAAGAACATTTTCCAGGACGTGAAATATGGCATCAGGATCCAGGAAAACTCCTCTTTCTAAAATGTTTTATACACGTATACAGGAGTATATGTTTGTCAACAAAGATATTTTTTTGGAATTCTTGCTCACAGGATTTCCTGATATATTTCCCTTAACCAAGTATAAAAGCTTGAATATATGATACATGAATACATGATAACTCCCTAGTAGGTCAAGAGAGAATTTTAAATAATAATTTAAACAATAATTATTTTATATTACAAATAATATCCTAATTCTTGAGATAGCTTCCAGGACAGACAAGGAAACAGAACATCATAAATGCAAAATAATCACAATGGCAATTAAAGCAACCTAAAAATAAGGTGCACTAGAAAGGCTGCAAATTTGACAGCTTCCACTCATAGCCCTGTTAAGACAAAACAGGAGTCATGTTATATCCACAATACTCCCAATAAAACAAAATTTTGCTAGATTTCCCCAAGACAGACAGCTAACTTCAGAAATATGAGTCTAACATATTTGATGAAGGAATAAATGAGTAAGAGTGACAAAGTATGATGACTTAAATGTTGAAGTGAACAAAGAACAGTCTTCCTGTGACATAAGGGGAACTCTGGAACCTTTGTTCCTTGGTAAGCCTATGAAAATAAAACTAGCTTTTCATAATATATTATGAAAGTATATAATCCTGCTGCTACATATAACTATATTAGGAACAAATCAGAATCTTACCCAATAACTGGATGCTTGAAGCCAAGCTTCTTGGTGGCCTCTTCTATTTCCTTTTCCAGCCAAGGCTGTGGGCGGATCAAGTATTTGACAAACTGGGACACCCACCACACTGCAGGATCACCATGGACTTGAACGAGTCGATCTGCAAGGTCTTCTGGTACAGCCAGGGGTAAATATGGAGGACGGGGATGAAGACTGTCTACAATGGGGAGCTCGACCACCTGAACATTTTTGTCTTTCACTTCACCTGAAAGAAGATCAAAACATATCATCACCATACTGTATTCTTCATACAACTACCACTGAACTAGCACTTACTATTTATCCTCATAGCTGTTCTAAAGAATTATGATCACCTTTACTTTACACAGGAGGAAAAAAGAAAGGTTCTGTGAAGTTAAGTAATGTGCACAAAATATTGGAGCCAAAATGACAGAGCTGAGTTTCGCATTAAGTTGGTATGCCTCTCAAGTCAATGGCTTTTTTTTTTTAAATCACAATATGCTGCCATATCAATACCTCATACCCCAGAAAGGATGGCATATGAAACTCGAAATAACCAGATAATACAGCTATGTTGCCCAGGAGACACAGCTAGCTGGGTAAAGTACTGTTGCTGTTGCAATTGTTTTTGAACAAAATATTCTCAAAACTTCCAGCCTGTCATTACAGTAAATGGTTCCTGCATTACTTTTAAGACAGAGTACAATGATTCTGGGGATACTTAATGATTATAATTTTAAGTGAAGCATACTTATCTTTTTAAAAAATTAAGTAATTTTTAAGTTACATAATTTTAAAGTCTTTTGTATACTTTGCCAAAATAGACTTACTATATTTTCAGTTATGATAATAACAAAATCTGTGTTGCTTGTTTACCTCCCTATTAATTTAAAATCAGAATAGAGATTAGATGCTAATTTTCACAGATGATTATTACTCTCAGAATCCAACTTCTATATATTGTTACTGCTGTTCTATCAACTTTATAATGTAGTGATAAGCAAGAAGAAACAAAAATCCAGTAGCTAGCATCCCCAGAGTTTATTTTACATATTAAAAACTACCTAGTAATAACCAGAAAAAACAAAGACACGGGGCAGATTTCACTAATATAAAATGTACTGAATTAAATTTCCAATAACTGAAAATATTAACCTGAACATACAAAATAACCCCAGTTAAGATGCTGTCATTGTGCATAATGAATTACAATTACTGTAATCACTGGACCATTAAAGAAAGAATGTACTCTTGGAGAATAAACATAGAATACATTTAAAATATACTCATCAGAATAAAACACAGTCCTCAAATTCCATTTTTCTGCATATTTGCAAAATGTTTAAAAAGAAAATTAAATGATCTGGGAATGCAGTCAATCAATTGCACATTTATTAGAAAGTCGGCTTGGAACGAGTAAGAATGAAAAACCTCTAGTTATTATTCTCTCTCTCATACAGAAAACTCATTTCAGGATTCTTACAACAAACCCTTTGAAACAGACATCCATCGTAAGAATAAATGGCAATGAAAAAATTTATCACCAGTATTGTGGTTCATCTAGGATGCCAATAAAGAGTTGGCACCTTTATCAGATGAAGAACTATAATTTAAGAGAGTGCACGGAAAGAGTGAGTTGCATTTTAAATTAAGCTCTAATAGTCTTCCCAAGGAAAACTGGAGTGCTTTCCCTGATGGTCCCTGGCTCAAGCAGTTTGCAATGGGTTGCTAACCCAAAATTTAGCGGGTCAAAGCCAGCTAGTGGTCCTGTGGAAGAAAGGCCTGGTGATCTGCTTTTGTAAACACTACAGCCAAAAAGATTCTATGGAGCAAAAGAATTCTAAATTCTACTCTGTAACACATCAGGTCACCATGAGTTGCAACAGGTTTGATTTTGTTTGTTTGTTTCCCTGATGAAGAGTTGATCAGAAGCAGTGCCCGTATGACAAAGAAAAGGAAGAAACAAAGAAAGGAAGAGAGAAAGGCAGTTAATTTTTATAAAAATAACTTAAGAAAGAATGAAAAAAAGGGAGAGAATGAGGGAGGGAAGAAGAGAAAGAACCATGCCTCTCATATATTATCATAAATTCTGTATCCCATAAACAAAAGAAAATTTAGTAGAGCTGTGTTCTTTTTTGTGACTTTGTCCTAAACACAGTATTCTAAATGTTCAGTGTAACTAGCTCAACATTTCATTTAAATGAAAGTGTGACCCTCTAATTTGTCCCAAGGCCTAAACTTCCTTATAGTTAGTCCTATTAATAGTTTTCAGGAAAAAAATGAGAACTATAGCCACACCTTCAAGACAGAGAACTTGGTTTATTTTTGTTGTTTCTTTGTTAGTTTATTTATTTACTTGTTCACCAAATACTTACTGAACACTACTATGTGGCAAAGACTCTACTAGTTACTGACAAGATTTAGTACCCAGGAATAGTCAAAAGTCTTATCCTCCAAGTAATATCCACTCAAGATTTCTAGTTCTAAAACCTCATTCAGAACTAAACTACTTTCAGTGGAAAAAAATTAAAAATTAAAAAAATTCAATACACAAGCATTAGCAGACATGCTACCAAAACATATTCAACTGCTCTGGTAGCGTAGTGCCTAAGGCACTTGACTGCTAACCAGAAGGCTGGCGGTTCAAACCCACTAGCCAATCCTCAGAAGGAAGGCTGGGCAATCTACTTCCATAGAGATACTGCCTCAGAAACCCAAGGAGGGGTTGCTATGAGTTGGGTGTGACTCGACGGAACATAACAACAACAATAAAGTATTAAGAAAAGGGTATTTACATTTCCAAATTAAAAAAAAACTGGTGTAAAATAAAAGTTTAACTCTCTCAATAATTGTATATTTCAAAGTGAAAGAACATAATATACTATGTCCTATGCTAGAAGGTGTCTTCTTTTAATTAATTTGCCATATAACATTTTTTATTCTGCCAGAATATATACCGAAAATAATTAAAATCTGGAAGAGATCCTAGAGATAATTTCATTCAGTGTTTTCTAAACTTTATTCATTTATGTGCCATCTTTAGGATTTTTACTGTATCTATATACTACCTGTACTATTTTTAAAAAATTAACTCAGTTTTTAAAACTTAAGTGAATTTATTTTATAGATGTAACTATAAATATAAACCTATTGAAAATAAAACACGTTATTAATTTCTATGTAGGCACTATTACTTATGGAGGGTTCCAAGCTCAAAACTGTATTTCTTTTAAAAAAGGAGATTATTAATGAAGTTTTAAAAGGTGATAATTGCTTTCCCTCTTAAATCTCCTATGAGTTTAAAACAGACTGATAAACAGAGAAAAAGGATGAATTGGAAGTTATGGTTTTATGAAGACTATGGTTTTAAGGTTTGCATTTTTGGCTTCATGGGATTCCTGAATATTGCCATGGGGGAGAGTTTGTTAACCAAAGCCTATTACATGGTGAAGGGAAAAGAAGCATGTTTTCTGAGAATGGGTCATACCATGAGAGAAGACAGATAGGGTTGAGCCTCAAATATTTGATTTGTCCTCCCAGTTGGATGACATACCATTTGCCTTTCAAATGGAGGTAAATGAGGTTGACAGAAGAGAGAGAGAGAGGAAAAAAAAAAAAAAAAAAAAAAATCACTTCTGTACTTCTCCTTTCTAAGGAGCAGAATTAATTTCTTTTCTAACTGATCCTCTTGAGGAATGAAGAATTCATAATACTTTCCCTTCAACAATTATCTAGTATTGGAGAGCTATTAAATATATTTTGTTGCCAAAGAGACTTTCTCCTTGACATAATCAGAAAGTTTAGAAAAGGATAAACTTTTTCACTTTGAGATTTAATGTGTATTTTAATGTTTTATCAGGGCACTGCCTAGTATTATCTCATATACCACCTAAAATCATCTCTACTAATCTACTGTAGGCTCCAGAGGTTGAGAAACACGTATCTATTTCCATGTTCTTATTTTACAGGTGACGAAACAGACTAAGAGATGTTAAGTGAACTTGTCAAAGGTAACACAGCCAGCTAATAAAAAAGGGCCAACATCAGACTCTAGGGTTTATTCTGTTACTTGTATTACACATCCTGCTTTCTGAAGCTTATTATTTAAAAAAAACTTAGGTATAAACCCTTTGATCAATCAAAAGAGTCTTGCCATTCTATTAAAGCTTTATTGTTGATGTTGTTAGGTGCTGTCGAGTCGTGTCCAACTCATAGCCACTGTGTCAATCCATCTCGTAGAGGGGTTTCCCCTCTTTTGTCAACCCTCTACCTTACCAAGCATGACATCTTTCTCCAGGGAATGGTCCCTCCTGCTAACATGACCAAAGTAGGTGAAGATGAAGTCTGGCCATTCTCCCTTCCAAAGAGCATTTTGGTTGCACTTCCTCCATGACAGATCTGTTAGTTCTTTCAGCAGTCTATGGTACTTTTAGCATTCTTCGCCAGCACCACAACTCAAAAACATCAACTCTTCTTCGAAGAGGTCTTCCTTATTCAATGTCCAGCTCTCACATGCCTACAAGGCAACTGAAAATATCATGGCTTGTGTCAGGTGCACCTTAGTCTTCAAGAAGACATCCTTGCTCCTCAGCACTTGAGAGAGGTCCCTTGCAGCCAACTTGCCCAGTGCTATATGTCATCTAATGTCCTGACTGCTGCTTCCATTGGTGTCGATTGTAGAACCAAGCAATGTGAAGTCTTTGACAACTTCCATCTTTTCTCCATTTGTTGTGATGCTGTTTATAGGTCCAGTTGTGAGGATTTTTGTCTTCTTTATATTGAGACGTAATCCATACTGCAGACTGTATTCTTCAACCTTCATCGGTAAGAGCCTCAAGTCATCCTCGCTTTCAGCAAGCAAAGTTGTGTCATCAGTGTATCGCATGTTGTTAAAGATTCTTCCTCCAATCTTGATGCCATGTTCTTCATATAGTCCAGCTTCTTAGATTATTTGATCGGCATACAGACTGAATAAGTATGGGAAAAGGATACAACCCTGATGCACTGCCTTCTTGATTTTAAACCATGCAATGTCCTCTTGTTCTGTTCGAACAACAGCTCCTGGTCAATGTATAGGTTCCTCATAAGTACAATCAAATGTTCAGGAATTCCCATTCTTCTCAGTGTCATCCACAATTTGTTATGATCTACACAATCAAATTCCTTTGCATAGTCAATAAAACACAAGTAAACATCTTTCTGGTATTCTTTGCCTTGAGCCAGGATCCACCTGACAGCAGCTAT